GTTTTCAAGTAGAAAAAGTTTGTTTGGAGTGGGCTTTGACACATAAAGTTCCTCCAATTTTTCCCAAAGTTCTTGAGCTAATTTTAATTTACCAACTTTTCTTAACACGACATCAGACAAATGTAAAATGATAGAAGTACAAGTCAGTTCATCCAAATTATCTTTTTCGTCTGTAGTCAAGTTTGTAGGAAAAGAGCCATTAATAGCTTTAGAGACTTTTTGTAGAACAATAATACATTTCATTTTTTGTTGTCAAATTGAAAAATCTTATTTACCATTAAAGACACCCAACTCAAAATGATGTGTCGACATCTTATAAAAAAATGCACACAAACGATATGTAAAAGTCACAGGTCACACTGATTACACAGAGTAACAAGATTCCTATGATTCCACAATAATACGATATTTTAGAACCCCAGGATTCCATGAGAATCGTGTCTCGGGTCAAGGGAAGAAACTATAATATGAGTCCGGGTACAAGTCTAAAATAATATAAGATTCAATAATAACGTTCAACAAATAAATCTAAAGACAATAAATAAATAATTTCACTTGGAAATTAAACAAGGAATGGCAACTAATCCTAGGTTCTACGAACAAGCAATGGTTACCAAGCAATGGCAACCCCCAGTCCTAATGATCACCCCACACGATGATCTACTAGTGTGATAATGTAAAGGTTTCAGCCAATTTACCATGCAGCCCTTTCTGAGTCCGTAATTTATGAGAGATGCGAATTTATTACTTTAGTCCGCAATTTATGGCCTAAAGNAATGTAAAGGTTTCAGCCAATTTACCAGAGTGAACCTTTCTGAGTTCGTAATTTACGAGAGATACGAATTTACTGTTGTAGGCCGCAATTTATGGTCAAAAGTAATTCAGTAAATGTATATGGCAATTTTGACCCACAACCAATCAGGGGCAAAATCGTCCAACTTTTACAGCAGTTCCTGAAATGAAAAACTAACAACACACGTAGGTTAGAAATATCAAAATAAAAATTATGCCTGAAGAAACCTTCGCCGGATTCCTCCTCACGCGCCGCCACGCGCCTTCGTCGGATTGCCCACGCACCATCGTTCGCGCCGCCATCGGAGATCATGTGCACCACCACTAGGTGCGCCTCAGCCTACAAAGTATGGGTCTAGTCTTGATTTTTCTGTCCGGTCACTGATTTGGCTGAATCGACGAAAGAAGGTCCAATTTTTCAAAAAAACTTCCCTGTTCGTCTTCCAGTTTCTGCTTCTACGTTTTTTCTTCAATTTTTTCTTCATATTTGATTCTCCACCAAGCTCTGATNNNNATTTGATTCTCCACCAAGCTCTGATACCAATTTGTGAATTTAGTTCCACCTACAATTGAACAAATCAAACAAATTAGTTTATGAAATTAAACAATAAATGGAAATCAATTCAAGAACACAAAGTTGAAGAACAATAGAATAATAGAATTCCCCTTTAGGCTCAGAAAATCTGATCCACCACCACAAAGGTAACACCAAGTTTTGGAGAATGACTCGGGCACACAAAGACGGGAAGAAGGACTGGAGAAATTGCACAAAGCAAGGAAGGATTTTGCACAAAGCAAGGAGCCGATTTTCTGTTTCTTCAAGAGGCATAAAGCAAAGTGATTTTAGTGTATTGAATTGAGGACGAGAGGTTCCAATTTACAGGCAAGGAGTTGAATCAATTTTCCCAAATTTTTCTCTCCAAGGATAGACATTATCAAAATCGAAGATTGTTTAGACAGAAGATAGAGTTCTACAAGTTTGAAT